TTCATTACATATCAAAGTCAATGCTGTATAACGCCAATCTAAAGCCTCTTCGTTCGTGTAGGCATTCGCACAAGAGTCTACGGAAAAAATAAAGAAAGTTAAGGAGCGAAATTAGATAACTTTTAGTTTTCGAAGCTTCTCTCTTTCTCTTTCTCTCTCTTCATGGGTAGAAATTCGACACCTCGCCGTAATAACGTTCTGAAGTTTAATGCGCCAACACGCGAGCGTAGCCCTTGCCCCTCCCCAAATCGACTAGCCGCCACTTTGCTGCCTAAAAGTCGCTATTCCAATTCGTTTTTTCGTTTTTTCGTTGTTTCTTTGCGATCGATATCAGAGAAAATGTTCCGCGTTCTCGCTGGTCGCATTTCATGATTAATTTGAAAATAAAATTAATGTTATCCGTAGCACGAAGTCACAGTCGAAGGAAAGTGAAATGAGCAAGTGCTGGCAAAAATGAAGGAGCAGCCTGTTCAGCTCGTTGGACACGCGCCATGTACATACATGTACGGGGCGCGCAAAAATTCATCCGAGGGACATATGCGTGCATTGGCGAGTTGCTAGCAATCGAACCGTAAAGCGGGGGCCCAGTAATTAATTCGACTGGAGGTAACCCCAGGGCCCCGTTAAGGAGAACATTCTCGCGAGCGTAACCGATACAGTCGGTTAGCAAGGAGGCTATCGAGGCTATCGCGCTATTACGATCCAAGTTGACCATTTTAAGAAGGAGAAGTAAAGCCAATGCTCATCTTCGCGCAAGCATCTACCTAGCAGACAAAAAGGATATGGTATTTCGGATAATTGTGCGCTCCTTGCAATTTCATAGATTGCTCGCGCTCTTACGGCTACGTGGGCGTGGTAGAGAAAGCAGCAATATCAAACTAAATCTAGCTGAGACAATAGGCCAACAGCTGAATCAATAACAATCAAAAGAATTTCAAGGACTTTTGAAAGAATAGGGAAAAACGAGAGCTTGGCCATAACAACTACAAATTGCAAGTTTTCTAGGTAACATCCTTTAACATCCTTCCCGAGAGCTTTAATCCTTTTCTCTTGGAATTAAGACGCAATCGTCATTCATTAAAAGCTTCTGCAACTGTTCCAAATGAGACTAACAAGCAGCCGACTGAACGGTACCCTCGCCTCCAGCCCGATATATGTTGTATAATATTAGCCAAATTTGCAATTTAACGGCGCCCGAGTGGGTCTCGTTCTGTTTTCCCCCACGGATAACAAGTGGAGGGGGAAGTTCGCTTAATCTTTAGGAGTCATCGTCGGCTGCGCGTTACGTGTACGTTCGCAACTGCAACGCGAGGTGCATACGTTTCCGGGCGTCGGCCTTGAAGCAACACAGCTGACCACCGTTCGTCTGCATGGCAGATCGGGTGTCCGTGCGATCTTACACTGAGCTTCCAGTTTTATGCGTACTTCTTCTTTTGGCCTGATACCGATACGTCTGTGGAGCTTTCGCAGAGCGCTGAACAATCCGACCAGTAAAAAATTCAAACATTTTTAAATGCGACTCCAACTGCAAACTGTGAGTATGAAAGTGAGTTTCTATCGATCACATTGCTCACCGTGAAAAGCAGGTTATAGCACAAAAGAAATAACTGTAGACAGAGGGGCCGATCATTTTATTGATCTCGACAAAAGAAATGTCGATTTCGCGAATAACCATTCGAAAGCGTCGCTTCGATCTTTCGATGAGTGCGTTTTAATTGACCTATTATTACGGTTTGATTGTCCGATTGACTAGATCGTTAAATTAGAATCTCATTCTAAAGATATTTATTTTTTAATAATAAGACAAAGTCCACAATGTTACTAAGTCGACCTAGAGAAAATAAAATTCAAACGTATAATTATATCACACAATTTTAAAATAATATGCCATAACTGTAGAAAATGAAAGTTTCAATCTTTGCAACAGACTATTTAATTAGAAATTAAATGTCGTTTTATAACTCTCCATTGCTAAGGCAAGCGTGAAATTGAGTTTGTAGAAGCATATAGCTTTGAATGAAATTTATGCCAAAAGAGTTTGTTTGCCAATGATATATATTATTCAGTAAGAAGACTCATCGGATTACCGTATAGCACACGAGCATTCAATTCAAGACTGCTTATCTAAACGATAAATGCGCGAAATTCAACTTGATTTTATAGCGAATACGTATGTCATAGGCATATGAGAAATTTGAAAGAGAACAAAGTTCACTTTACAATTACCTCGTGTGCAATTTCGAAATAATATATCTCGTAACTAGAAAAGGGAAGTCCGAGTCTACAACAGATACACTTACAAGCAAAGAGACTGATTTCATTGTAGGAGTTGTTCGTTACATTTTCAATCGTAGAGATCATCTGATAGCTCAATAACTCGTGCATATACACAACTGATAGCAATCCAAGCGAAGCCAAAGAGAATAAAAAAGTCGATTCCCACAGAGGCTGCTTGAGTAGTCAGGGAAGAGCCGCAGAAAAAAATCTCGATGCAGTAGACATCCCCTCGGCAAACATTGGCGCCCTCGTAGTCCATTGTTCGCCGTGAGAAAAGAGAAGCAATCGCCTCGGCTATGGCTTTCACTCGGCCAGCTGCAATTACACAGTACACACGCCGCGCCGGTGACAATCTTGACATTGGCCATGCTTACTCTTCTGCTGCTGGCTTCTTCGTTGTCTCCCTTTGTCCGTCAGAAAACAGAGAGCGAGCGAGAGAGAGAGAGAGAGAGAGAGAGAGAGAGAGAGAAAGCGGAATACCGTTTGGACGTTTGTCGCGAGCGCGCGATGCGCTCCGCATGACCAATTAGATGGGACGCGACACGGCTAATCTAATACTCTAACCTAACTTACTTATATACCACTGACGTGCTCCTTCGTGGGAATTAAGAAAGTAAGATGCACATTTTTTTTATTCACCTGAACGCTCAGTAGTCACTGTAATATATACTTCTAGAGCGAATCGCAAGAGAAACAGAGATAACTTTTGGTTTTCGAAATATATTCTTACATTTTTTGCAGGCTTATTAATGATTAATGATCCCTCGTATTTTCTTGAAAGCCTACACATCCTCTCGTCTATCACGCACAATATACCTAATAATATGACAGGGAATAATAATAAGCCTCGCATTACTTGACATAGACTTACAACTAATTAAAACGATTGTCGGTACTTAAAAATCGCAATTATGAAATAGCAAGGAACGAACGAGGCAGTTATTATCATCTTAAGCAAAACTTCCTGCCGAGCAAAGAGCGAACGAGAGAGATAGAGGGAGCGAACGCGCGCGGTACTTACTTTATTGACCTTCCGAGAAAGTTTCGTGAGAGAAGCACGTTACTTCTTCGAGAGCACACAAATGCCCCTCGCTCTCGACGCTCAAGCCCTTCTCTTTCGAGAATCGATCATTTGCTAAGTTTACTCATCCGCGAACACGTCGATGCCGATGATCAATTATCGTTAGGCCTCCTCTTGTTTGCTCATCTTCGGTTTCGCTTGCACGTGCATTTTTATATCTATGTGAATAAGTTTAAACTGAGATGCTTGAAAGTTTCAGGAAATTTCCACTGGCACGTACCTGGAAATTAGAAATGGTCAACTTAATGCTCTACTGATCAACAATTTTAAATATGTTCATCACACGCACAGCGTTAAAAACACAAAAAAAACGCGCGAGCAATGAACATTCGAGCACGCAATGATATACTATTTGTTTTACTTTGGCATCTTCGCAAAAGGCAAGAATAGGCATATATACGCGCATGCACCTGTCTCTATGGGAAATCCCATTAGCGAGCTGTCATTCTGCTTCTCGACATTGGATTCATTGACTTTCTAGGAAAGTTCCGCGCGCGTTGGAGTGACAACATGACAAACCACGATCTACACACATGCATTGTCGAATGTATGTATTTTGCAAATAATGGTATTAACTCGCTGAATTTTCTTTATCCAAAGCGATAGTATGAGTTGACTGTACGCACGGCTACTCTATCTTACGCATCAGTTTGATAATGTCTGACTAATTTATTCCGAAATCTTACACAACTCGGGCATACGATGCGAGCATTGTAACACGATGTTATCGTATTTATCTTCGAGCTTTTCTTCGTTAAGCCGCACGTAACGAAAATCCATTAAATTAATGTTGAATGAGTGTACCGCTTTTCCAAAAAAGTAGTTAAGTCTTTTTTCAGACAAAAATACACACATACACACACACAAAATTAATTTAAACAAGTATCTCGACGTTATTTTTCTATATAAAAAATAATAATAACGTAATAAAGACGCATCGCGGTCTGATTTTCTTCTTCTCCGGAGACTTTAAAAATTTCAGTCGTTTTTCCTCGTTAATTGCTGGGAGCTAATTAACCGGCAGAACAACAATGTATGCTCGTTATGATCGAAAGTGACACCGCGTTCCCATAGCTAAATGCAAGATAAAAAATCGTTGTACACAACTTTTATGACGTATCGCGTGCTTGCGATCTCCTGCTACAGTAGTGCAGGTATACGCGGCGAGAAAACCAAATGCGTGAGCTTCGAGTCACTGGGTCACGATTGTTGTTGGTATTGTGTGCCTTGTATGAGCTGTGAGTGAGAGCTTCTCCACCAAGATGCCGAGTGAAAACTAGGAAATGATTTACTTGTTCATTTCTGTTGTTAATGAGATTTTAGCTTGGATCATGGAGATTTTTTAATTTGCTTAAAATCAATGTTTGTCATATTTATAATTAACATTATTTATCGCTTGGTTTTAGAATTAAGTCTGAGGAAATAGAGACATTTTGCAAAATAGAATGGTTGCTCAATAAAATATTTATCTCGAATTTCCAGGGTGACATTGAGGTTCATTTAATCGGAACAAAGACGGCCCTATGCCCATAAAAATTATGTGCCTGTACCGTCTAGAGGTGCATTGCCGACCAACATGACGTTGCGTCTGTGGAGGTATCATTGCGGAGGGACGACAACAACGCCATCATGGCAGTGGAAAATGATTCTCATTTCGATTACATTGCTATTATTGGCGGCGAGATGCGAGGCGAGGAACAACCCACCGCAATTTCTCACGGATCGCGGCCAAGAGATCGTCTTGAAGCTCAAGGAGGGTCCGGAAACGCCTGTCGGTCAGTATTCTCCTTCAGAGAGAGAGAGAGAGAGAGAGAGAGAGATCTTTTTTTGTCTTGGTGTGGTGATTGCGATAATCGTTGCTTTTTTTAGTAACTTTGTGCTTTTTTATTAACAGTATTGGTAATTACTTTTAGGCAATATATGTACAATAAATTGATTATTAAGAAAAACAATGCAATTTTTTTTTCAAATTCAAATCGTATATTCTAAATATTTGATCGCGAATAAAAATCATGACAAGCTTACCAAACACTCATCTCTAGAAGATAAAATAAAGTGATAAGAATCAAACTTGTAAACTAATAGAACATCTTACTACGAGGTGATTATTGAATTTATTTAGTTGTCTGCGACTATATCCACATAGTCTTTCCTCTAGTCCATTAACTAAGCAAAACCGGTAAATTGTGAAATTTGTTAAATCTAACTGGAAAGGGATTTACAGGGAGCCAGATTTACCGATTGAAAGGCGTAGACCCGGATGGAGATGACCTGACCTTTGGGGTACGAGAGCAACCGGATAGCGACGTGATAAGCATCGAAAAGTTCGGCCGTAACGAAGCCAACATCTACATCAGGAAGCCGCTCGACAGGGAGGTATGTGTGTGTACATTTTCATCCTTCATACCTGCGTTCTTTTCATTTTTTGTGCAATTCCCCTTGTTTTCACTAGAAATAAAAGGTGTGTAGTAATATATTTCACTCTTATATATTCTGGGTTTTATACCTTTCGAATCGAACATAAGAAGAGCTATGAATGGGCACATGATTATGCTAGTTAATGCATTAAATATATCGAATTAAACTTAATTACGATAAATAATATGAGGAGACCGTAAAAATATCACTAAATACAATCAAAGATAATGCTTGAAAATATATAAATTATAGAGAAATTCATCTGTCATTTTTTTGTTATTATTCGCTCTCGGCAACGAAATCGGAGTAAAATTTTCTTCGCGTAACAAAAGGAAAGTACGTAACCGTAAAGAAATCGTTGAAAACTTATCGATCCTTTCACAAAATGTATATCGTCGTAACAATCGAAAAAAAATGAGCTATCCACAATAGAACCATCTCTCTAATCTCTCTCAGGAAGACATCAGCTACGCCAGCAAACCAATCGTAAAACGCTTTACAGTTAGACTCGACCAATAAAAAAAAATAACAAAAACCTCTTGTAATACCGAAGCTTAGTAAATCCAATTAAGAATGCAAGAGGGAGAAAAACACCGAAAAAGGATGTCTTTATTCTCATGCGAACGATAGCCAAACAAACGCTCAATAAATCGCCCGGAAAAATTGGTTACAAAGCAAAAACATGGAATCCGATCACTTAAATCAGGATAGTTTCCGCGTCAGCTCGGCTACGGCAGTTCCGCACGGCTGGAAGAGCGCACCAGTAATAACAACGCGACGACTACGATGATGATGATGATGACGATAGTAGATGAGTTGAAGGCGTGTAGTGAACAAAGGATCAATTACTGCTGCGTTTGCGATGAGTTTTTTCTTCAGCGCAATGAATGTTCGATTCGTTATTGAAATACTACTGTAGATTTTTTATTTGTCCATATGACTATAAATATGAATATAGAATCAGGTAGAAATTTAGACCAAATCAACTACAATTCAGAAAAAAAATTAAGTTTATTACTTCATTTATTATAAGGTAAATCTTGTTTCAAATATCAAATTGTTTATTTCTTACAAGAAAACATTCACAAGACAGTACAAACTAAATAGAACCATTCGTCATTGAGAAATAAAAATTTAATAATTTATATTTTTCACAAGCATGTATTACTGTATTATTTGCACTCCACAGACGAAATCCGAGTATGCATTAGTGCTGACACTTACCGACGGCAAACTCGAGGGAAACTTTATTACGCAAAGTTTGTTGCTCGTCGTGGAGGACACCAATGACAATGTGCCGCTATTCAAATCACACCCAACAAGTTTGACGGTTCGCGAAGATGCTCATCCTGGTGTACTTGCAACTGTCGAGGCAACTGATCTCGACGAAGGTGCTCACGGTCAGGTGGTCTATCACCTACAAGAATCGGATGGCGATAACGAATTGTTTTCCGTGTCAACGGTTAATGGTAAAGGTGTAATTAGACTTATTGGCCAACTTGATTACGAGAGGAAGTATCTGTATCAACTGAGGATTCTTGCGATCGATCGAGCTATTAATGAAAAGGTACGCGCGCATACCTATTTTATTTTCCGTAATTTCTGAATACCATTAAAAGGTAATTATTCATTACAGGTCAATACCGGCTCGACGGCAATTTTAATAAAAGTACAAGATGTCGAAGATCAGCCTCCCGAATTTGTATCAATGCCGTCCGTTGCGAGGATCAGTGAAAATGCAAAAATTGGCACATCAGTTTTGCAAGGTACGTACGTCATGTCTCATCCAACCTTAGACTCAATTGTAAATTGACCACATAAACTCGACTTATAGTACGTGCAGTCGACGGCGACAAAGGTATAAACAATCAAGTGACCTACGGTATAACTCGTGGTCCACAATACTTATTCGACATCGACGCGACATCTGGGACAGTGTTTACCACAGCTCAACTGGACCGCGAAGCACCAGACAATAGTGACGGCTCGTTCATTCTTGAGATCACAGTTAGAGAGGTTTCGAAAGTTATATCGGCACCTTCTGTCTCCACTGAGGTCACTATAATCGTCATGGATGTCAACGACGAGACACCTACTTTCCGCAGCAGCAGATACATTGCCGAAATTAATGAGAATGCACCGCAAAATACACCGGTTACGTTCATCGGCGATACCATACCCGAAGTCTACGATCATGATTTGGTGAGCTTTTCCCTTTTTCATGCGAGTTCTTTTTGTGCAGTATGGATACATAATAAATTATTCTACAGGGATCTAACGGGACATTCAGATTGATTATGAGCGGGGATCATGGAATATTTGAAGTGACCCCGGCTCAAGGTATCAACGAAGCTCCATTTTTAATAAGGGTTAAAGATTCGTCAAAATTGGATTTCGAACAAATCTCAGGTACACTTTATATTATCTCCATATTTCAAAGATTGAAATAGAAAGGCAAATTTTTATGGTCAATCTTTTCAGTGTTAAATTTCACGCTGACTGCCAAAGAAATAGTGCCAAATTCGCCAAAGAAGAGCATAGTGCCGGTGACGATCTATATAAAGGACCAAAACGATAATTATCCGGAGTTTACGGAGAGTATTTACGAAGTACACGTGCCCGAGGATTGCGCAGCCGGTGCAACTGTCGCTTGGGTTCAAGCTTTGGATGAGGACAGTGGTAATTTCGGCACAAAGGGAATTCGATATACCAATTTAGGCGGTAGTCTCGCTCATGCGTAAGCGTTCATTTCCCACTTTTTGTGATTATTTAGTTGTAAATTCTAAAATTAACAATTCGTCGTAGTTTGAGACTGAATTATCATACTGGCGCAATAACTGTCAAGGAGCCAGGTGCACTATTCGATCGCGAACTTGTCTCACGTCATTACTTGACGGTGGAAGCTCGCGATGACTTAGGAAAAGGGAATCGCAACACTGCCCAACTTATAGTCAACATAAACGACGTCAATGACAACGCTCCTGCCTTTTTACAAAATAAATACGAAGCTGTTATTCTCGAAAACGAAAATCATTTCGATGCGCCTCTCGTAGTCGAAGCTTTCGATGTAGACTTGAATGGAACTCGCAACAGCGAGATTTTGTACTCGATACTGCCTAGTGATTACTCGCGTAATTTCACAATAGATGCTAAGCACGGTGTTATTGCACCATTGAAGCCCATGGATTTTGAAGTTTTACCGACGCATCTAGCAAATGGAAAAGTTGAGCCCTTTATTAGACCCTTGAAGTTAACTGTGAGAGCCAGAGATATGGGAGTGCCGAGTTTAAGTTCTGATGTTGCGGTTACAATTTATTTAAAAGACGTCAATGATAACGCGCCATCGTTCGAACGAGCTGTTTATACGAAAAATGTAGCTGAAGATTTACCTGGTGGAACGAGTGTATTACAGGTAAACCTTATAAAATTAAAGTATATTGGATTTGATGATTGTAGCTAAAGTGAATGCTGATTACAGGTTAAAGCTTGGGATAAAGATCTGTCGACGCCTAACAACAAAGTCGTGTACAGAATTCAAAGAGGCGCGGGTGACAAGTTTGTTATAGAGCCAGAGAGCGGAACGATCAGAGTTGCCAGTGGTTCCAATTTAGATCCGGATTTAACTTCTCCGAAGACCACCAAATACAATCTCAAAGTATTGGCAATTGATAGTGGCACCGAAATTCAAAGGTCTGCCGAAGTACTCGTTGATATCTCCATAGTCGATGTCAATAATAAACCGCCGGTTTTCGTTGACCCTGGAACTGTTGTTGTTCGAGAAAATACTCAAGTAATTAATTATAAAAATATTTACTTTTTCCGTGAGAGTAATATTTTCATGTGTGTAGATTGGAACTTACGTGCATCGAATAGTAGCAAACGATCCCGACATAGCGCCGATACTACGCTATAAAATCGATCCAAACTCATCGGAGGCAAGAAACGAAGAAGGCACTCTAATTCGTATCCAGGAATACGATTACTTAGCTGCTCTAGAACTGAATGCAGTCGATGGCTTGCTCAAGCTCGTAAAGTTACTTGATAGAGAAAGAGTTGAGACAATTAGGCTTGGCTTAGTGGTCGAGGATTTGGCTGCCGTCAAAGGTGTACAGGTAGCTTCTGGTACGAGCAATTTAACTAAAGTTTTTAAGCCAATCCTTCCACTATTATACTGTTTGAAGGAAAATGTCTGTGATTGGAGTTTGTAAGCTCTGTCATGTTACTGTACTGATAAATACAATTGCTTGTTATTTTTCAACTTCAGAGATTTTTTAGTAATTCTTTGGATCAGAGTTCATATAACATTGTTAATTGAAATAAAAGAACAAGTTATCAATCTCGATAATAAATGCGCAACTTGAATATTTAGTGATAATGTATGGAAAATGCTATATATGTATCTAACATTATTATTCGAATCATATATTAGAAATTAAGGTTTGTTAAATTAGTTTTATCCGGAGATTCGCTATGAGCTCAATGTATTTTTCCATTTTGATCTAATTTTGAAATTCATTACTCATCCTTCTAACTAGGAATCTATACAAATCCTACATATCTATAATAATCCTACGAACTAACGCGCGTAAATTTTCATATTTCAGCGATTCTCAACATAGTGATCGAGGACGAAAATGATAACGATCCGCATTTCCGTCGTCCCTTCTATCGTCGTTACGTCACTGAAAATAGCAAGAATGGCGTGCACATTGTCAGTATCGTAGCTAACGACGCCGATAAAAATCGCACGATCACCTATACGCTTGAAAGTCCACGTGAGTTCACTGACATGGTTAATCTCGATCGGGAAACCGGAGGAATGACTGTCGCCAATAAAATTGACAGAGAAATTTATTCTTGGATTAATCTTACCGTTCGAGCTACAGATTCAGGAATTCCTCCAAGGTATGTGCAGGATTTCAAACTCATCATTTAAAGCGAATTGAATTATCATTTGTGTTCATAGATCTAGTTTAGCAGAAGTGTGCATTCAAGTGATCGATGAGAACGATAATAATCCATTCTTCAGCACCGATCTGACGAATGTAACAGTATTGGAAAATGCAAAAATTGGTACAGAAGTGGCATTGATCGAAGCTCGAGATGCAGATAGCAGTGACTTCGGGAGAGTTACCTATCTCCTCGACAGGATGTCTTCACAGGTAACTGATATAATTATTGTGATTTTCTTTGTATGTCATCGAAACTGATAAAACTTATAATTTTACGCTTGTTATCGCTCATTACAGGGCAAATTTGCTATTCATCCGGATAGTGGCTTGCTTACTGTCGCCGATACGCTCGACTGGGAAACAAAGAGCTCCTACGTGCTCGTTATCGAGGCTTGGGATAATTATCAATTCGGATACGCTACCGGAGAATCTAGAAATGCATTCAAACAGATCGAGTGAGATTGTTTTCTTTTTTTGTATCGACGATGTTTCATAAGAAGCAATTTGTTAAAATGACATCGACTTTTTATAGAGTCACTGTAGTAGATGTTAATGATAATGTGCCAAAGATAGACATACCTGAAGGATGTGCAACTATTTCGGAGTTTCACGATGTAAGAGAAAGCATTGTGTTTATTAAGACTGAGGATGCAGATAATCAGATGACACCGAATGGTCGGACAATGATTCGAATTTTCTCGGGAAATGAATTAGGTAAAAGAAAAAGCTAACTTAATGCACCGTTCACTGTGCGATTAATCTCATGGCATTCCTTTGTGTTGTTCTGAAAGGTTATTTTACGTTGGAACAAACAGATTATTGGTCGGCGCGTCTCAAAGCGTCCGACTCCCTTCGCGGTAGATTCGGAAAATACTCATTGAAACTCGAGGTACAAGATCTCGGCAAACCAGCCAACAAAGTTTACGCAACTCTCGATGTTTGTGTCACCGATTACAACGACAATCCACCTGTTTTTATCAGTCCACAGCATAACATTACAATACGAATTCCAGAGGTTCGTTGTTGCTTATCTTTGTTGATTATTGATTGTACAATTGATTGAAATTTTTTTAGAATATGACTGTTGGATCGGAAATAGTACAAGTTCAAGCAAAAGACGCAGACAATGGACCGAATGGAGATGTTCACTATCGATTGAAACAAGACATAGCTGGGCACTATCAAACTTTCCAAATTGATGAAACAAATGGATCTGTATATTTAAAATCACCCCTTGACAGAGAAATCCAAAAATTATACGAGGTAGGTAACATGTCTCAATCACGTCTGATCAAATTAAATTCCTTCTAATCAAAGCTAATAAACGATGCCTATAAAGAAATTTTAATAATGCTCTCCGCACCCATCAAAGTAACGAGCTCTCTTCGTAAAATAAGTAGTAGCATTACGTGATTCATGGTCAACTAGCTGACTGAATAACAATAATTATTACATAGATACGTGTAGAAGCGTACGATCTTGGCACCCCGACACCATTAAGTTCAGATCTGGACCTGGTGATCTACGTGAAGAACATTAACGATTACGAGCCGCAATTTCAAGTGGACGTACACCACGTAAATTTTACGGAAGAGCGAGCTGCTGGTAGCGAGAGCCAACTATTGCCTGAGACCATTGACAGAGATGAGGTCGATGATCTCGACGACCCGCCGACTCACGTCTGTTTCTTCATCGTCTCTGGCAACGAGCAACGTACTTTCGACCTTGACAGCAACACACATCAATTGACGGTACGTTCAAGTGTATTATATACATATAGTTTTATTGCGAAAGAAAGAATTGCAGGCTAAGTATTGTAGTACAAGATGTAATTTTGCTTTTTACTTCTTCGTAGACGGCAAAATCATTGGATCGAGAAACCCAAGAAGTTTACGAGATAGTTATCAAAGCTACAGAAGATTGTAATACTGTTCCGCTGGCAAACCAGACGTTTATTGAGAAAGATGATACGCTGTTAAAAGTCATCGTTACGGTCATTGATATCAATGACAATGCACCTAAGTTTATCAATAAAGTTTTTACAGGGGGAGTTACAACTGATGCTGATTTTGGAATGGAGTTTATGCACGTCAAGGTGTAATTGATGTTGTAATTAGTTAAAAATTTAAAATTTTATTTTTAATTCATGACCAATCTTTTTATTTTTATTTAGGCTACAGATTTAGATAGCGGTGAGAACGCTATTGTTAAATATTACTTGATTGGAAAGATACAAATGACACTAACCGAAGGACTCGACAATATACAATTACAACCATTTTTAGTTGATGAAACAACGGGAGCTGTAACTTTGAATTTCGACCCTCAGCGTAGAATGAAAGGATATTTCGACTTTACAGTAATACGTCAAAAAAATATCGAAAAAATTAATGTGAATTTAAGTGTAAAATTGTTTGTAGGTTCTTGCCAATGATACTGCAGGATTTAATGACACAGCAAGAGTTTTTATTTACTTGCTGAGAGAAGATCAACGCGTTAGATTTGTGGTCCGACAACATCCACCAGAAATACGTAGTAGAATCGAATATTTCCGAGAGTAAGGATTATCTTCCACTACTTAAAGAATGAATGCAATAGTTTGAATAACCAACGAAAATCTTATTCTTCAACAGAGTTCTCGGTAATGTGACCGGCGCGATAGTAAACGTGGACGAATACAAGATTCACGAGAACCAAGATGGCTCAGTCGATCGAACGCGTACAGATTTGTATCTGCACCTCGTGAATCGGGAAGACAATTCAATTTTTGACGTATCGGAGATTCTGGCTCTGGTTGATCGTAACATCGAGAAACTGGATAGTCTGTTCAAAGAGTTCAACGTGCTAGACACCCAACCGGCACAACCACAATCACTGGCACAGTTTGAACAAGCCGGCACGACTCTTTGGTTGGCAACTTTGACGCTGTTTTTGGCAGGACTGTTGATCGTTTGCGTGGGAGTGTGTCTTGCTCAAAGATCGTCGTATCGGAGACAGTTGAAGGCTGCAAACGCTACGCCTTTCGGTATATTTTTTAATGAGCAATTAGATAATGGCAAACTATAGAACTGATATTAAAATACATTGAAATAAATTATTTTTATACACGAATTTAGACTCTGCAATCGTTCTATTCTAAACTAGCTGTTATTCAATCGCAGGCATTTTTTCTCTTCAAGCAATAAAATCAATAATAGACTATTTTCCTTCAACTAGATAACTACTAGATCTTCAGTTAGACTGCACAGCTTGCTCTGTAGATATGATTAGCAATTATTCTTATATACTGAATCGTTACAGATTCCGAATTCATGCGAAGTCCTGGGCGTGTTCCAAACACGAACAAACACAGCGTCGAAGGTTCGAATCCCATTTGGATGCACGCCTACGAGAACGAATGGTTCAAAAGTGACGAATCCATTAGGTGAGTGCGCGGAATACCATGTACTTTGTATGTGCTCTGATTTACTAGTTCACTTGTGTAGTCATAACTCCGAGAGAGATTCGCTCGATGAAAATGCTGTTATTAATGAGGAGGCTATGAACGAAGCGAATAGAAATGAAATTACTACAGAGGATAAGCCGTACTATAATCAACAGAGAGTAACTTCAATATTTAGGTATATTTTTGAAATTACACGAAACAATTAATTTTATTGAATAATATCTGAATGAAATTTTTATTTGTGAAAAGTGTTGAAACGACAACGATCGAGACAACAACCGACGAAACGAACGGAGAAGGTGGTGGTAGTCCAAATCGTAAGTCACCAGTCCATCGAGGCCACAATCAAGTGCTCAATAACCCATTTGTTCATAATGTAGAAACGACCGAACTCTGACAATTAAAGATAAGGAGAAGGATTCAAGAGGCACGCAGACGCAAAAATAGATTAAGAAAAATTCGTGAAGGAATTTGTAAATATTTCTAGTTTTTCTTTGGTCCTGATCAGATTTATTTATTTATAAAGAACGTAAATTTAGCAGAAGGATGTTATAGACTTTGTAAATGTGGGTGTGAATTTGAGATTGGTGAAATATAATTTTAATTGAAGACAGCGATGTACATAATGATACTGCCAAAAAAGAAAAACATATATCGAGTTTTTTTATAAGATTCTAATACTTTTGTAATTTGAATAAATATTGTACATTCTTGTATTGAATATTTTTATTCATTAAAAGAATAATTTAGCTTTTCCCTTTAGTGCGAAAAAATATATCGACAATTGTAATAAATTGGACATTTTTTTGTACGCCACCGACTATACGAAACAGGAAAAAGAAATGATCAAGAAAGATCTCTTACCTGATAAAAAGTTCTTACTAAAAGTCAAGTCATCAAGGAAAAAAATTAAATCATAGATTATTACCACCCGATTGTAACCATGAATAGGGGAACTCTGCTGAGTTTAATAACGAATCCATACGCAGAGCGCACGCACAAAAGAAGGGGCTTTTCGAGACACATAGACCCGTTGGCTACTTTCTCGACCCCCTTATCGCTCTCCTGAAAGTCAGCCTCGCGTGCCACCCTATGCTAATGCCAAGCAAGCTATAACCCTCCCCTCCACCGTTTGAGCGAAAGCTTTCTTCGCCCCTTCAACATCCAACGTGTATAAGATGGAAAAAAGATTTTTGTTACCGCGTTGAACTTTTTTCATTACTTTCTAATGGATGTTGCTCGTTTTCTTGCCAAGTGAATTACACGATTTTTTTTTTATTTTCCAGCAATGATTCTTTTACTTCCAATTGTTTTGCTTTATTAAATGTTTTATCAATTATCAAATTGATCAGGTGATTGAATCAAGTGAAAATGAATGTAATTGATTTGATCTCAAAAATAATTTCCAGTACAAGTTTTCCTAAATTCCACTAAAACAGATATTCAATCAATAAAATAAAAAAGTTACTAAAGTTTATTTTACTGGAATGAAACGAATTAAGCTATAGGACTACGTCACTTCGCGATGTTGTCAGATGAAAAACCCTTCAGGCAGTCTAACAAACTAATTTTTCAAAATACATGAAGATCCTGACTCATGACTCAAGGTAAACTCCTGTTTACCAGATACATGAACTTGAAATGACTTCGCGGAAAAACCGCCTTGCGGACTTTACCACAATGATTTTTTCCTTTACTTTCACAGTCAATACCAAACAGCTTATAAGATATTTTTTCTAAAGATCAATAATTGACTCTTGAATTGTCTAAATCCATAAAAAATGCATCATACCCACGCTAAAATTGTCTCAGTATCGCATATATTGCTGCAATTTAGACGACTTTTTTACCATTACTAATTGGACTCAAGTTCCATACGGGTTGAAACAAATTAATTTGCTCATCGTATTCTTCCTTGCATATCTAAACTCTAAAATTACTTTTCACCTAATGCTTTGATCAGTTAATGGAAAAAAGCAAAATCTAAGGCAATTTTATTCTTTGGATCTTAATGTCGTAATTCTTGTAAAAAGATTCAGTGCACACACGCACACACACTCACAAAGGTACGACTCGATTGGCCTACATTCAGTCAGGGCGTCTGGATTTGCATGAATGGTTGTCGTGGTCGACCCGTATTTTTTTCCGTCTTCCTTTGTGTCCAGTAACGCGGCCGCAGCCACGTGACGGTAGGTAACTACAGATCTAAGCTAGGAAGGCGAACGGCCGGCTCGCGTGCTGAAGCTCGGAAAAATATCGGACATCGACCAGCACACAACTACCCTAGCTGCCAACTCGCTAGCTACCTGCTACACTTACTCGCACCGGTCAGTTCGCACGCGACTGACTGACCGAACACCCACGCGAGATCTGCCGGGTTAAGCAAGCTTTATTTCGCGAATGTAACTTTTGTTTTGTTTTATGAATGATGGCCCGTCAGTATAGATATTTAGGTTTGTTCAGTAGGCCAGTTGCGTGTGAAGGAAACGAGAAGAAGACTGTGCTTGTGAAGAAAAAGTTGATATGAAGACTGCATGTTTAGGTTTCTATTGTAATATGCACGAGATCCGAACGATAGCAAGTAATAGCTGTGAAAGAACAGTGTGAATTTAAGTATTGATAAGAATAAGTGTGATACCGCTAGAAATGATATCTAACGTAGTGAGATTAAGTTTTTATACAAATTTCCGATCGTTATGGGTTGATAAAGATCGTTCGAAAAATTTTGTGGACGATTGCAAGCTTGTTTCAGCAAAACTGATGTTATCAACTGACAAACTTTTCTAACATTATTAGTTAAGTGTCTGATTGATGATAGACATTTTTATAATTTAGATGCTAAAATTTTGAGGAGGAGTATCTACTTCAAAATAGCTTTTTTTAATGAATTTTATTAAAACATGCATCATATACCTAGAACAAGAAAACTGCCATTCGTTGAGTAGAGGAAGACAAGTCCAAATGTTTGCGACAAAGTATTGTACTATATGACCATTCAGGTAATTTTGTGCTTATTGCTACAATAATTTTTCTGTGTTTGTCTTCTTTTTATATTTGCCATTCGCTCAGTTTTCTCATCTTCACGACAATGTACAGTCTGGATATCACATCATTGCAACATCTATACACAGTGTTAGTCCAGCTATGTAGAGTTAGACGCACGACGAAAAGAAAAAAAATCCATATACGTGCTCATATAAATGTCATTAAACATTCAGTCGTATCCACAATATGTACAGTACCGCAATCCAACCAATCTTTACACCACATGCGTACAACATTATACGGAAATAGTTTTGTAGCTCGCGCTCTGAACCGTCAGTGGCTATTACTTCCTTTAGAAAAAATGACATGAAATCTCATCCGCAGATATTGAATAATTTTAAAAATTTGAAGCCGAACTTACGTGACGTCGATATGTGATATTCAAACAGCCTACATTTTGAAAAAAGCAACAATAATTCGACGCAAAAATAAGCGACGAGACAGGGCGAAAAATAAATGTTAACGATTATACTTTGACCTGGTATTCTCAGTCGAGGGATAGTTTAATTTCACGCGATAAGAGCCCGACTACTTTTATGGTAGAATAGCTCATATGAATGTACGGGAATGATATTAGTATTTAAACAAGTAGCTGTGATAAAAGTAGGCATATTAGTGTGCAGATTTCCTAATAAAATGAGTTTAGTTTCGATTGATCAAGCAGTCATTGATACACCTACAATTGAAATTCATTACGATGCACCAAGTAACTCCATTGTTGTTTTTCTGCCTCCTAGTCATCGTCATCATCTGCAACACGAGAGAGGGTGAAAGTAAATAATAAATCATCTAATTTACCTACGCACGTAGGAGCAGCAGTGAGCAACTAAAGTGTAATCGATTAGGTGCCTGAGGGGCTTGTACGATAACGTCGTTTTAATTTTTCATAGCGGTGCGAGCCTTGTATCGTAGTGCCGAGTCGAGTTAACGCTCGCCCTCTTACCAAGCCGTTTCCATTTGTATTAAAAACTCCTTACCTCACACCGCTGAAGCAGATATCGATTTTTCCGGTGCTGATCAATTTACGACGATTATCTCGCACGAGCCTGAGCTTTGCCATTCCAACCTTGTGCTTTTCTCAAGCTTGTGTGAATAAGTGACTTGGTTGTTTCATTTACAAAACATCATTGATAAAAATGACGCGGAGAATGTACGTAAATCTTAGTTTTTGAACATGTATTCGAGATCGAATTATTTCCAAGAATTCTTCCTTACGTTTCTAAATATAACGTTACTTCGTTTAGAAATGAATATGTGGTAATTGCTTTGCTTCTAATGCTCGAAAAGCTGAAATCTCTGAAATGTATAGTTATTTATGAATTGTCAAGTTACTAGCTAAAAATTATGTAGCATCGTTCAATCAGTTAGAAAAATTTATCTATAAAAAAATCATTCGGCGTCATTATTCAATAAGCCATAATTGAGCTTCAAAATCGTAAAATCGTATGTTCTCACGACCTAAAAATCGCAATCGGAGAAAACAAGCGAACGAGAAATCTACATCGATGCTGCCGACAAACATGAAAAAAATATAGTAAATCGCGTAGGAGCGCGAGCCCTTTTTCTAAAAGTAGCGAGCAATAGCAGCAGCAGTCGAGTCGCAGCGGTCACGCATGAAAATTCCCGGTTATGGTCACGAAAGCCTTTAAGATTTCATCGACTTCTACCGCCTTAATTCTCCCATTTCTTTTTTCAACTTGGTCAAGAATAGAAGATACGAAACGCTGAGATTATCGGTTGCGAACTATCATTAGAGGGATCTTGAATAATACACGCGGTTCATTGGAATATTTTGCCGCGAATGGGCATTTGTCGAAATTGCGATAAAACATTAGAGTGTCACTGTGGTTTTTTATCATGGCAAAGCTAGACTAAAGGAATGAAAATCAGAGATACGCTATGTGCTCTAAGTAAGGCGCCAATGAATAATAGAAAGCTTAAAGACGAAAGACTAACAAGACTATTTCTGCTGAAGCCATATGCCCCGTCCAAGTGCGAGCTTGTACGCGATCAAGTCTTCGTTATTAATACATTGGGTGATAAAGCTTAATTTACATCGCTGCCTCCGATTAACTCGCGACATACAGTAAAGACCGTATGACAAACAACTTATCTGTGTTTTGCAAATATAGGCAAGTGGAATCTTTTTTGCATGTACTAGAATTTGTATTTTTATCATTCCAAAACTTGTACAATCTCTAGCTTTTAATATCCGACAGTCCCATGGAATAAATGGTGTTAATCATATGCCGTTGTTGCAACTTGACTACAGATGACACACAATATCTGAGGCCTATAATGAAAATCCGTAAGCAGCTATACAAAAGTGAAATGTCTCTACAATGTATCCCAGATACATGGAAAACTTAGCAGGCTAATACGCACTTTCATAGCATAACTCTACAATTACTTAGATGTAATGACTAGCTTCGTTGATCGACAAACGACTCGAGCATACGAGTATATACAGGCTACGTCACATGATCCGCAAGTAATATAAAGGAAACAGCAAAAAAGCCGCGTTTGCCGCTTGTAGGTACAAGCGAAACGTCAGATATTCAGAATTAAAAGCCTCTAAGTGTCTTAACTGCCAAATGTATGATCCGTAGGAACGGAAGCTCAGTGACCTACTGGCGCCGATATATCCGCATCATCGTTCGCGTGCACAAAGGGGTATAACACAACAGAGCAGAGTATGCAGTCTTCAGTATAGTCGAGCGTCGTCGTCACGCATATAATCCCGATAACGTTATCTTTAGCTGCGCATTGTTATTGTTCAAATAATCGTTCAATGCTGTTCTGGATTTTTCATTAATGTCGGTTGGCTCGCGTCTGACTACGTGCTCATACTTTTTTGCTCGTTCATGCCGTATGCTAAAATAGCTTGTGGGTGAACGAACTGTAATTGACTGACGTAATTCGGAGTTTTTTTTGAGAGCTATTTGCTATGTAGATCGTATGTTTCTATATACACTCAGTCTGTGATTGTCTTGAAATTACAATGCGCAGTTGCATGCCTTCGCTACACGTGCGCTCGTTAGGCATATTTTCAGATGTCAATCGTCTATTCAGTACGAAGTAATAATGACGTGCCACAGCTGCAACTTTTTCAGTGTTGGTGCCAATTTAGTTTCTTCAAATGTTTTACAATGGCACGACGTGGACATATCCATTTGTCTCTTTTAGAAGTATGCTAAGCTACCTACGTACTCTTGTTTATAAATGCGTATTTTACACACTGTATCCTATGAAGAGTTGAATAGCTTCTAGACAATATGTCTTTGTCACAGTTACACTTTTGCAATTATAACTTGATGTCTTAAGTTACAGCTAGTAAGACCTTTTGCTTGGTAATATGCTATAACAAGAAACGCTATTTGCTGCAAGCGAATCTCTTATTATGTGAAAATCTATCAAATAAAAATTTTACAAATAAAAGAAAAGTCAAGTGAGAAAACAATTTACGTTAACAGGTGAGTTTATCACCTGGGGCAGTGGTCTGACGCAAGCAGGCCAACCGTGTGCGACGTCGTGGTTGCGACTGTGGCAATTACTCCTCGACGCATACACACAGACAGAAGACAATGAGAGGGCGAGAGAGATGGGGCCTCTTGATAAACTCTCTCCTCGGGCGCACGAATATCGATTTTATAATCGTAAAAGCGGGTCGCCACATTCATTATACAACAGCTACGTCTTTCACGGTGTTTCTCTTCCGTGTTTGTGCACTCTAACCTGCTCTCCCTCTCTCTCTTCCCGAGGGGACGCTGTATTTTCCACACCCCACCCCAAGAGCTAACGGATGTTCTGGGCAAGCTACTTGACATCTGCAAATCTTTGTCTTATCGTTGTTAAACATTTTTATCTTCGGGCGCAAAAATTTTAATACGCCAAGTATCGATTGAGTTTTCGATTTCGATTTGAGAATCAACATGTATTGGACAAAGATTCATTGTGAAAATCTTCTCAAGCTGGTCCGTAAACGGAGCCTTGTTCTATTCAAATGAGTTTGAAAGAATATATTTGAATGTTTTTTCTAAGGATTTTCTGAGATTTGTTTCACATAAATTGTGTGGAAGTTGAAATTGTACAACATTGATTGCAGCATGCTAATAGCCGAAGAATGGCTCAAGACGTGGATCTGTCTGAGCTTTCTATTCGCCTGGGCTAGAGCGGCACGTCCGCGATTCGATGTCTCCACAGACATGGGTATGGTTCTCGTACCTGCGGACGCCGAAATCGGCACTGCCATTTTCAGACTTCGCGCCACCGATCAAGATGCCGATTTTCCCTTGATTTTCGAGATTCTTGGTAAAAGCCATGAAATAAAAGGTAAAATATAAGCAAAAACTGTTTTGATCTAATTTGCAAATATTCTAGCTACGACAACACCAGTAGTGAGAATAGAGAATTTACCGTGTACGTTCTATAACAAAATATGTCAAGCAAACGTAATACTGACAAAGCGGCTAGTGCCAGGGCGTTTGCACGACTTCATAGTACGAGTGAGAGATTCGAGTGGTGACATGAACTCGATGCAGGCAACCATCTCTGTTACCAATGCAACCACTCTGAGAGAAAAAATTTTTCCACATCTACCTACGCTCGTCATGGTTTCCGAGGTCAGTTCTACAAAGCAGCCCAGCAGCGGTTGAGCTGCTTTTTTATGACAATTGTTACGAGTTTGCGCAAGTTTTGACGCTATAACGAGGAACTACGATTACGCTTGGTTTTGTAAATGCATCAAATCTACTTGGAAACGTGACTAACCATGCAAATCGGTGGGGGTAGTAAGTTTCCGAACGCCTACGTGCGGCTTAGAAAAGAAAAGCTTTTTATATACGTCTCGAGCAAGTTTACTCATTATCTGTCGTAAGATAATTGTGACGCGCTTAGGTCTAATACACGGTTGTGCCTGACGTCTATTTGCAGGATGCGAAGCCAGAAAAGGAGCTGGATTATCTTCTTGTCGAGTCGAATCCTTGGAGCGGCAAGCCAGTGTACATAGAGCTATGGGTAACAATTGATCGTTGTTTCCAATCTACCTTGTTGTCTAATGGATCGACACAAAAGCAATACATGTGTTTTGTCTGCACAGCAACCCAAAGAGCTATTTAAAATTAAGCAAAGACAAGTAGGAAGCCAAACCAAAGGTGTAATAACGCTCACAGGAGAGCTTGACTTTGAGACTCAATCGATGTATACTCTCACGATGTACGCAACGGTAAGTAATGATTATGTCGAGCGCTCGAACGCATTTCACAGCTGCTAATCGAAAGATAACCAACGTGTCAGGATCCGTACACGGAACCGGGCAAAGACACTCGAAACATCGCAGGCATCAATGTCGTAGTTGCAGTGGTCGACGTGCAAGATGTACCACCGATATTCACTCTGGCTCCACCGCTGACGACAATCAATAATACCGTGAGGCCGGTAAGCTACAAAACGCTTGCATCGCGGCGCATTTACAGGCAGCTTCAAATGTTCATTTGGCATTGGCTACAGGGGGACGTCATTCTACGGGTGCACGCTGAGGACGGCGATAAGGGCGTCCCTCGGCAAGTTACTTATGGGCTTATCTCCGAGGGCAATCCGTTCACGCCGTTCTTTAATGTCTCGGAAAGCACAGGTGACGCATTATGCTCTTTAATTTTTTCATGCGCCCGTCGGATTCATACGACTACGGAGATCCAATGGAAAAGTCAACAGTTGTAGCAGCTGTTACGCCGCCAATTCGGTAGTCGAATTGCGTAGGCGTAATAAACAGACGAGATTGCGATCGTTCCGTTGGACTGATTTACGCACGTGACTGACACGCGTTAACACGGACTTTTTTGGACCCGTGAGAAAAATGGAGTGGCGTCGCCATGTCGGAGTAAAGATGGTAGCTTGGCACTCGAAACTGGTCGGTAACTCCGACAAGTTTTCAGGTAGAAAATGGCTAAAAGATTCATTGCAACTCGTGCGTGCCGATATTATCGTCGTCGCGCGAAAAGCAAAGGGAATAGGAATGAAAATCAAACGGATCTCAAATTCAAGACATCCAAATGTTCAGCAACATTTTCACGTATATTTCAATAATTAGTTCTATCCCTAGTCCATCACATCCTAAACCAGCCATCAAACTTAATCTTAAATTTATATCGCATACCAAAAGGTATAGTACTCGCAGCAATTAACTCGCAGCAATGTCGGCGAAGCGTGCAGTGCAGCGCAGGGCAGTGCAGTGCAGTGCAGTGCAGTGCAGTGCAGTGCAGTGCAGTGCAGTGCTGCGACTTGCAGGTGGAAAAGGGGAAAAGAAACCCTTGCGGTTCGAGCGTCTACTGCGCGCATGTTTTATTCATTTGGTAATATGGAAGACGCGATATTCCGTGAATTCCCGAGGCTAAAGAATACATACGGCGAACAAAGGAAATGGACGTATTTAACTTAACGAGGTTGTGTGTACGCTAAGCAGTTCAGAAATTCATGGCGAGAGTTTCAAAGGGATTTAATTTTTTGCGCAGTTGTTGGCAGTCAGTATATTGCTTAGATTTCAACTACATATTTACGTCTACGATATTTTCACTAGGCGAAATAATCCTGGCCAGGCCGCTGGAAGAGCTAACAAAGATCACACACGTTGGCGCTCCGATAATTTTAAAGATTGTCGCCGAGGAAATACGCACGACGAGGGATGAGCCAGCAGCTCAGGCCAGCGTTGTAGAACTTGGACTGTTACTCGGCGAACCAGGAAATAGCCCTCCGTACTTCGAAAATGACAAGTAAGCTTTAAATTCTGAAAGCTCACTTACTCAAATAAAACATACTCCTGAACTAATTGTCCTGTCCACTTGTTTCAGTTACGTAGCGTGGATCGATGAGAACGCGGAACCAGGCACAATTATCGTCTTTTCCGACGCTTACTCCACCCAAGTCAAAGACGAGGACATCGGCAAAGCGGGCGTCTTTGCGTTGAAACTCGAGGGTAATAATGGCACTTTCGAGATTAGTCCTGCGGTCGCTGAGAGGAGCGCGAGCTTTGTCATTACTGTTCGTGATAATTCCTTGATTGATTACGAGAAATTCAAAAGTCTTCGATTTAGAGTCAGTGTATTTCTAAATGGAAAATCGATTAATGATATTTTTCTGCATCGTCATAAGTGTCATTTTTTATAATAGATTGTAGCACAAGAAGTAGGACCAGCGACAAACCTATCAACCTCCATCCCCGTAACGATTTTTCTCCGTGACACGAACGATAACCCTCCCGCTTTCGATGCAACAATTTACGAAGCTACGTTGTCGGAAAATGCTAGCGCTGGCACAAAAGTTGTACAGGTCAGCGTTATTATTCTCTTATATTGTGGTAAACATAAAATAGATTTGCACTCACAGCCGAGAAATTTACAGGTGCACGCGACTGATAAAGACTCTGGCGTCTTTGGTCGCGTACAATACACGAAAATCATTGGTTCCGTTAGCGAAGGACTCCAAATGAATCCCGACACGGGTTTCATTACAGTGTCGATAGGGTCATTTCTCGATCGCGAGCAAGCTGCTAAACTAGAATTGACCATTGAGGCTAAGGATGAAGATGGCCGAGGTCTACGAGGGGTTACCAATCTCATTGTGAATATCATCGATATCAATGACAATGCTCCGATTTTCGAAACAGCCATTTACGAATTTATTCTGAACAACGAGTTGACCAATTTCACAATGTCAGCTTTTATAAAGGTTAGTCGAATTTCATTACTTTGAAAATGTATTATTGATAAAACATTGACTTTAATAAGATTGCATCTCGTAGGCTACAGATTCCGACGCCGAGCCTCCAAATAATATAGTCCGTTATGAAATAGTACACGGCAACTATGACAATAAGTTTCAGCTGAACGAAATCACCGGTCAACTTGTGCTGCGAGAACCAATCACAAAAATAAGAAAGGTACGAGCCAGTCAAGCGAGCAATGCTACGTGGAGTAATAAAAGCAAGCTATTCAGGGCGGCTCAGATCGTACCATCGAATAATCAAACGAATGCCACGACGGTTACAGTAAATTCAATAACGCCATCGTCATTTAAAGATTTTCATGTTTTGAATAATTTGACGGGCTTAGACGACGATAAGGCAAATCAAAGTCGAAGAAGACGAGCAGAAGATACGCCTCTGTTCATCCTCACAGCTCGCGCTTACGACTTAGGTGAAATGCGCCGCACGCAGGTAATTCGATGAAACGATAACTGGATATGAAGCTTGTCTTATGTATTTAGGCGTGCCACATCGATCAAGCGTAACCCAAATCCGTGTACTCCGACCAATGTTGGCATTCGCACGTATCGTCATGTTCGTAATGCCAGGTGAAAATCCGGATCCGAAGAAGACAGCCGAAACTCTAGCAACAATTACAGGAAGTCGCGTGACGATCATGGAAATAAAGCCATACGTCGCCGCTCAAGTTGACGCTGGAAATGCCGACATTGGAAAGAGGTTGAAAATTACTCTTTGACATAGCTGCGCTAGCAGATATTTTCTCATAATGTTCACTGTAGGAGCGTGGTCGTAGCTCGAGTAGAACAAAATGGGCCTGGAACGTTGGTCGATGTTGACAAGATCAGAGCTTCATTGGCGGAAAATGGCTTTGGTATTATTAGCGGTATGGATGGTAACGAGAATCCAACGAGTGGTTACGAAACGAGTAGCGGTAGCAACATCAAGGATAGCGGTGCGACATCGATGAATGGCGAGGATGTGGTAAGGCTTTCTTTCATCAAAGTATTTGCAAGAAATGAATATTATATGATTTTATTGCAGACTGTGTACAAAGCCGAGAATAAGCTATTGACGTGGCTGCTAATACTATTAGGCTTGCTGATTTTCACTGCTCTCGTCACGATAATACTGTGCTGCGCATGCTCCAGTTGTCCGTTCTACATGGAGCCTCGTAAAAGGCGAATACATTCCTCGGAAACGCTCATCATTCGTTCAGATGCCAGACCGAAAAGACACTTACACCGCAAGCCTATGAAAACAGACGAGGGTAACTGCTACAAGAATCCTTTATCCTCGACAGCCATTATTACAGCCATAATTGAAGGAAAAAACTAACCGAATGCCTTGCCCTTTAGGCTACTACAAGGAACGCAAAGAGGCATGGAGTGCCGATCCAGAACGTCAGCAATGGCAATTCAATCGTCGGAACACCAACAACCTCGGCATATCATCGCTGCCGGGTGACGTCCATCAAAGCGCAGCTGAGATCGAGCGAATGCGTCGAGCGACTTCTCTCCGCCAGCAGTACGACGCCTTTGGCGAGCCCATACCGCGAGTAGTGCCGATGAACCTGGGAGATGAGCGTATGTACATGGAGGATATGGAGGTGGCGCAGAGAAATTTCGAGCAAGCTGAAATGGATTCGCTGAGGAGACACGAACTCGAGAGAGGCAGTGATGGTGTACTGAGGAATGGCGCAATCACTGCTGCTGCCGCGGCTGCTGCTAGGCAAGAGCGAATACGAGAGCAGCATTATTACAGGGAAGGCAACGCCGAGGTGCTTAAACTTGTTACGAGGGGAGAGATTGAAGATCGCAAGGAGTTTGCCGATAGACCGGTGAGTTATCCACGTGCGCTTTATTTTCGCGACGGAGAAAGCTTTTTTTCATTCGGGGATTCCCGTTTCGTTGGGATTGCTCATTCCTTTTTATGACTTCTGATGACAATTCAAGTACACATAAATTACGTTGAAGTCGTCGCGTATCCGATTCTATGATTATCAAAAAAGGCTTTAGTATAATACTTTGGGTTGAAGGTATGTACTCGTATAGTGTGTGCGTGCGTCTGTGGCGCTGTGACCAATGGTGATCAACGTTGAGTGGAAAGAGTGGGAGTAACATGACGAATATCGAACAGATAGCTACGTAATTTGCAAGGGGTTAGTGAGTGCGCGAGTCAAACGAGAAGCAGCTCAACAAAACGATGCACGTTTGTATAACTCGCTGTTGCTTGGCTATATAATTGCATTTCGAAGACGTCGTTGCCGTTGCTTATCTGATCGACTGATGTTAGTCGTACCTCGTATACATTCAACACTATGTCTATTCTGATCCGGATAAAACAAAAGAACAAAAGTAGATTATTCAAACAGCCTAATTTAATGAAGCTGCCCATCAGTCGTCGATAATAATTTAAGCTTACAAACTTACGTTGCTTCTTGCACGATAGAAGGATCTGTACCACGCCAACGGCAAAGACATCTTGCTACAGCGTTTCATCGAGGATCAAAAGTTGCGCAGAAGTCAAGATCTACGTGACAGCCCTCACGAAGCAGACGTCGATCGCAGCATGGAATCGCATCAACGAGCCAACGAGGTCACCGAAATTCTCATACTACCCGAGAGACTAGAGATGCAACGACAACCGAGCTACCCTCAAAGATCCCACGATCAAACGGTACATAGTATTTTAAAATAAATGCTCTACTTTAGACGCGATCAGACATTTTTATGGAGATTGGAAATTATGTGAGTTATTTTCATTGCAAAGAATAAAATGAATAAAACTCGCATAAAGAGCCTGCCCGGCTTCATTTTTGTGGCTGTTTAGATGCTTAGAAAAATCAATGATTTACACTGAAGAGCGTTTACACGCTCAAACCAATTATGTGGTTTTTATCGCCACTTTCAATTTCGAAAGTCGTACGATCGTAAAAACGCTTATAGTCGCAATTTACACTGTACAGATTCATTTGATTTAAATCGTTGACTGTATTATCAAATCATTTTTTTCAGCAGATAAACGTCGACGTTCAGAGATTGATAGGCGAGCACCCTTATAAAACCAGAGACGACGAGGCAGACGACTATAGAAGCCCACGAGGGGTTGAAACGTCGACGAGAGATGCGGAGGTAGAGGCGGAGATCGCTACTTCCGTACATGAGAGAAATGCGCCCTTTGGGATGCACGACGCTGAACTTGTGCGACAGAATGTTCTGCTAACGAGGCTCTTGCTTGAAAAGGAAGCTAGAAATGGCTTGAGCGCGCCAGTCGTCGATAGCTCTAGTTTCCTCGAGACTCAAAGTCTTCCAGGTAATTCACAGATCTTGCTAGTTATTTTTATTATTTATGGGACAAATGCTCGGTGATGAATGCTCGATTTAACGTATACAATTATGTCCCCGTAAAAACGATTACTGACCACCATCGAACGAATTACTTTTCATCAAACTGACTGATTCGCAGCCCCTCGTTCATTAAAGTTTTCAACTTCCACCTGAAACAATCAAACTAAACTCGGTCGTTCGTTCCAATTCCAGGACAAGTTGCTATCGCCACGCAAACAGATCGAACAGCGTCAACGCAAACGGAGTGCTTTTTCGGTCGTAGTCGTAGCGACAACGAAGAATCAGAGGAAGATCCCCGATTAAGGCGAAAGTCCAAGACGACACGCGGAAAGTTAGAAGCGAAAGAGGATTTGAAGCAAATGAAGACCATTTGGGTGAGAACGCCGATTCCCGAGGAGAGCCGCGCGGAAAGTGCAAATAAAAATACGACACCAACGAGGATGAAAATCAAGGCTAACGAAAGTAAAAAAGTGTCACCCGATTTACCGAAGGAGATGAGCCATTCGCTGGATTCCGACAACAACGAGGCAGAGCACCAGGAAACGAAGAGAAAGACGACGACGAAGAAGGTAAAGGAAACAAGACTGGAAGATGATTCCACGACGCCGTCACCGGAGACTAAAGAGAAGAGTACTTCGTTGAAGAGTAAAGTGAGGAAAAAACCGGAGAAACCCCCGAGAAGGAAGCTAGACTCGGAGAAGAGTCACTTGATGGAGCCAAGTTTCCGTGTGTTGGAGAGAGAAATCAGCAGTTTCCAGCAGAAGATCAAAGACTTCGGCGATAAAAAACTGAATTTGCTGAAAAAAGATGACAGCAAGAGAGAAAAAGAATCTGAAGACGACAGTGGAGCAACATACGATGTCTCCAAGAAGTGCGAAGTGACAGTGAAGGGAAGCAAGAAAAGCGTTTCAAGAGAAACCAGTCCTAAAAAAATATCAGTCGAACAAAAATCAAAGAGGAACGAAGAGGAAAGTAAATCCCGACAAAACATCAGTAGTTCCGACCTAGAAGATTCGGACAAATCGAGACAACAGCAGCCACTGACTTGCAGCGAAAGGACAACGCAATACGAAAGCTCGAGGACGGAAATAAGAAGCAGATCGCAATTGAGACGTCAGCCGAACTTGGAGAACTCGGACTTTGCAAAATCGAGCAGCGAGAAAATTGAGGACAACAAATCGTCGTCTTTGGACTTGAAGCTCGACCCTACTGCGGATTTCAAGAAGAAACAACCTCGAGGGAAATATTTGCAAAGCCAACGGGCTGCGACGAAGAGGCCATTGGACGCTGCTAGGCAGAAAGTCGCCGCAGTGAAATCAAGAACTATAGAGCAGAAAAGTAAGAGACTGACAACGGCCAGCGACGAAAGTAAATTGTCATCGCCGGTAAAGAAGTCAGCAAGCTCGGAAGAGGATAAATCAAAGACAACGTCGTCGTCGGACGACAAGTCCAAATTGTCGACTGCTATTGGCATTGATATTGATAAATTGGTGGAAGATGTCAGAGAAGCTGTAGAAAAGGAGCTGCAAGCTGCTAGAGAAGCAATGATTGTCGGAAAATTAGGAGAGTCTGCAGCTGATGAAAAGGGCGATAAAGTAAAAAACTTGTCAAAATTGGAAGAGTCTACGGCTGAATGTAAGACTGACCAAGTGAATACTTGCTCGAAATCAAATGAAACTCAGGGATCTCCTACGAAAATTAAAAGTCAGTCTCTAGATAAATTGAAGAGAGAAATGGCATCCATAGAAAAAAATCGAGGACACAGGTCTATCGAGGGTAAAGAGAAGAAAGAAAAGTCAAAATCAGTCAGCGGTATATCACCGACTATAGCCAAAACGGACGAAGCAGTGACGTTCATTGTTTTCGAAAACGACAAAATTCGAGGTGAACCTTCCGCAAAAGCTTCGAGATTGACGGATATACCCAGTCAAGATTCGACGAAACCTCGAGAGCCAATGCGGTCTATAGAAATAATAAGCAAGCCATTGGAGATGAAATCTGAAAACGTAGCGGAACAGAAAAATGACGTTGTGACAAAAAAGACGTCGGAAAGATTCGACGAAATGGACAAGGCTGTACCAGACAGCATCGATGAAACTAAAAGACTTATGTCAAGTGAAAATGAAAACAATAAGAGCGAGTTTGACGAAGCGAAAGAAAAAATATCGGAAAAAATGACGAAAGCGGAAGATGCAGTGAGCGAGAAGAGCGAAGAAACAAAGCATAATATATATGACAGAGCCGATGAAAGCAAGCAAAACATTGGGAATGAGATGGAGCACACGAAACAAAGTGTATCAAACGCAATCGATAACATTAAATTAAGCGTATTCGAGCAAATCGACAAAGGCACGCGTGATATTTCGAGTAGCGTCGAGGATACAAAGCAGAACGCATCAAATGTCATCGATGAGGCAAAGGAGAACTTATCTGATAACATTGGCAAAACTGAACAAATTCTTTCGGACGTAGTTCAGGAGTCTGTTCATGGAATGCCGGATATTATGGATGAAGCCGAGCAAAGCGTGTCCGATAAAGCTGAGCAAACAGTTTCAAGTTCAGTGACAAATTCCAAGCAGAGTGTATCAAATAAATTGCAGATCGGCGGAATCGAAATCGATTCACCCGATGACATTGACGAAATAGGCGTGAATCTTTCAGATGCAATGGGTGGTGCAGCGCAAAATATATCGATAGTAAATGAGGAAGCTAGCATTAGCGATCAGCTTAAACATACCGTGAAAAGCATGCCAGATGAAATGAAGCCAGCCGAAAGCGATCCAACCGTAACGGATGAAATGTCTGAAGCACAAAAAAGGACATCTGATCAAATAGAAGAGATTGCGAGAATCGAAGCAATTTGTCAAGAATCAACGGTAAGCAATGAAATATCTTCCAGCGGAATTCCGTCTGCGGCAGAGCAAAGAAAATCCGGAACAAGTGAACCCGATAAAGCAGCTACAGGTGCAACAAGTGATACTAAAATAGAGCCTGAATGCACTGTCTCGAAAGCTTATCTGTGCGAATCGACATCCGCAAGTCTTCCAAGCGAGATGAGAGAGCAAGAGGGGAGCGAAACGATAATCGATGATAGTAAAAGTGATAAAGAATCGGCGTCTGAACAACTGACGATAAAAGCTCAAGAAGCCAACAGGAAAACAGGAGACGAAGAAACAAATCGTAGCCGAGTTACGACGACTGTCGAGAAATCGATAGAAGAAACGAAGCGAACGGAGCGCGTCGAGCAATCCAAATCTGATGTTCCGTCGCTGAATGAATCGCAGAACATCCAAGTAAAGCCATCGAAAATCGAACGGGACAAAGCTCGCTTGAAAATCCAAAGATCGCGTAGTCCCGTGAAATTTTTCAAACCAATCAGTCCCGCGGTGCAAGTGATTGCCACGACAAACGAGGACGAGAGTGACGAGGAGTCCTCGAGTGCGAGCGATATTTCAAACAAGACAGCCCTACAAACTAGTCAACCCTATAGAACGCCAAGGCATTCAATATCGTCCGACGAAAAGAAGCCCGAGCCGAAAGCAAGGCAGAGGTGGGACAAAGAGCCCTTACTGAAAGTTGAAATGCCGAGGCCTTCGAAGACGAATTTCCCCAAGAAGATGGAAGTGTCGGCGATTGATAAGCCCTCGGCCGACCAGACCACACTGTCGAAAGCAATTGCCAAAGAGCAAGTTGCGGCTGCGACAGGCAAATCGACGACACGCGCAACAACGAAGGAGACCGAGGTTCGTACGCCAGCAGCTCAATACAAATATCACGTTGCTTAGTTGCTTTCTCTTTGCGTCGACACTTATCATTAAAGATCAGTTCATTTCGTTGCACTTGCACATACCTATATCAAGTCAAACATCATTCTCGAAATTTCACTGAAATAGACATGCTTTGTTCATTCTTAGAATTATACATAAACTTAATTGAATTGACTGTCCCTATGGAATTAGGACAATAGCGCGTACTTTTTTTTTTAAACTCTCAGATAAATTTTTAAAAAATAAGCCATCGATTCTTTCATTTGCAATCTAGCAAGCAGAGACTAAAGAAATCACACGACCGGTAGTAGTAGGCGTCAAGCGAAAAGACCATCTGCGTACGGATCACTTCTCGCGAATAGCCGACACGCGTCGATCGTCACCACGGCATGAAACTGGCGAAACGCAAAGTCGCTCGAACAAAGTGGAAATTCGCTCGAAGCACCTGAAACTCCAAGTCAGTCACCATTATCGTCAAGCGAAAGATGCCAACGTCGGCGATGAACGTGAAACGGCCTCGCAGTCAACGACTACGACGACGACGGCGACGAAAGTGGTCGAGCACGGTAAGGAGCCGGAGATAGCGAATGCACGATCGCGTTACATGGCTTGGTATCAGCAGAAGCGCGCTGAAACGGAAGTCAAACGACGAGAGAAAAAAGAAGCCGAGGAGCAACAGACGAGAATCAAGTGGACGAAGAAGCCGACGGTTAAATCTAGAAAAGCAAAGTCTGCGGAGGATTCCGATCAAAATAAAGCTAATGCTAAGGTGTGCATGCCAATCGTTTGCCTTTGGTTTGTCATTCTTTCACGCGATTAATGTGATTTTGCCGTAGGAATCGCTATCACGCGAGCGAGCGAAATCCTCATCTGAAAGCGCGCCAAGCGCCGCAACAGCTCGAATAAGCCGTCTTCGAGTTCGTCCTCTGGTCAACGTCGAGTCTGAACAATTGAAAGCGATCGTACGTCAGGGGCGCAAGCTCCGCAAGAAAGAAGGTGGAACCGACGAAGACTTAACGGTGCAAATTTTTGCGCCGGAAAGACCACCGCCCGAGAAAATCGAAGACGAGAGACTGACCGTTGCGTTGCAGCTTCAGCCCCGACATCATCTTATTCAGCACTCGGAATATAAATACGAGAAGAGCGTGATGCCACCAACGTTGCCGTTTTATCTGCATCCACCGCCAGCTCCACCCAATCCATCGCCCGAGGCTTTTCAGGTGCGTTGCTAGCGATAAGCTTTTCCTCGACTGGTCTGTAATTTTTTCCGTAACAGTCACGTCAAATGTTGGATGAATTCAATCGCATAAACAGGACAAGATGACAATACGAATTTTGACATTCCAGGACGATTCGTTAGATAGTCGAAGATTAGATGACGACCTTGACTCGGGCATCGCAGTATCACTGCAAAATGGCACGACACGACTGAAGCATCAACAAGTGCTCGAGAAAAAGAGCGTCTTCGACATCGCGTACAACGAAGCTGCTCCGACGCAGCTCCGCTCTGATAGCAGTACTCCGCCATCGTGAACGTTTACCTTTCTTTTATCCAAGTACCTTTTTTTACTTGACAACAGAAATAGTGAGAATTTTATCCGTCCATATTATTGACATTCTATATCTAGATGTAGATTTATCTAGATTTGCGTCAAATTCAAATAGCAATTTATTCAAATATTATATATGGCGGTTGAATTCAATAATTTGACGCAAATACTAGAAGAAAATATAATGTTTCGTAAAATTTCATCGATAAAGGAACCTATGTGTATAAAAAATTTAGTCGAAAATTGTATTGTGGATCCATATTAGTGTATAAGATCTGTCGCATAAACGTCTATAAAAGAAAATCAATGTTCCAAAAAATATTCATACTTTACTTGTAACAACGAAATTAGATGCATAAGCATGTGGTTTCGTTGCTTACGAGTAGCGATTGTACAGTATCAGCTGTTAGATGTTTTGTCAGTGTTGATAACTGAAAAGATAGCTGCAAAGATAAAAGAGAACGTTAATAATGTGACCTGGTAATAGAGATCTGATAAAACTCGAAAAAGCTCTGTACTATCAAGGAACCAAAGCCTAACGACAATTTTTTATCGTGTCTCTTTTATATGTAAACGTAGATACATGTAGCTTTGTTATTTATTTGATATAGACACCATTATTTGTCGACAAAGGCAACTTGAATTAAAGAACAATTTTGGCATGACTTGCGATATTTTTTCCACATATATATATATATATATATATATATATATATATATATATATATATATATATATATATATATATATATATATATATATATATATATATATATATATATATATAGGATACTTCTGTCAGTGATGTATCCGTGATTATATGTGTGCCTGGAGATGTATAAAACGAAAATGTCTTTATTATTTATTAAGGAAGAAAGGCGGAATACGTTTGCTCATCAGTTGGAGGCGCCTGCAATCCGGCAAGCAGTCGTGCACGCTCGGCTGTCCTCGCAGTCGGCGGCCAAGGCAAGCTCTCGCGTTGTTATCGTGTCCGCGTAGCTTACCTAGGCCAACGCGAGTCGCGTTGCGCTCTCGCTCGCCCCCGCGCTCGCTCGCTCCGAGCCGGCAATGCAACTGACCTGCCGCAATCAAAACACATGATGGTGCATCGAGCATAACCGGAGCCCGGTAAATCCTTGGCTCAGGATAACAGACTGACGAGAAACGTTGGAGCTTCTGCGAGGCAGACATCGCCAAATTGCTCGGTTCTTTTCTCTTCTTGCCCGGCGCCGAGCGAAGCCTTCCAAGGAGCATATACGCGCGATGCTTTGCTTTTATTTCTTTGCTTCTTGCTCGCCGCGCCGGTTTCGCGCGAGACGCCGACGCGACCGACAGACTGCGACAGAGTGGGGCATCAGCCAAACCCCGCCCACTCCGCGCTACCTTGCCGACGCTCCTACATCGCTTTTACGCTTTACACACCTTTCCAATCCAATCGACTTTTTTTATCCTTTCACTTTTCTCGCTTGCGACGTGCACTTCTGCCGAAAATCTCGGATGAACGGCCAATCCAAGTTCGCTCGATTCTCGATTCACCTGGATTCTCCCCAACGAAAGCTTGCGCGACCACGTCTGACCGAATTGCCAATTACTACTTGAAACTATGTCTAGTCGCAGTGGAACTTGCTACGAACGAAGTCTATTATTATTGCTTGGAAAAACGTTCTGCACAGGAAGATTATAAAAAGATCTATCCACTCGTCAGCATCATTGAAAACGAATAAACTATTTGGCAAAATCAATGAAAAACAATTCGACAAAAAAGCTTTACATGTATAGAATAGGGGCATGCTATATGAAAAGTAAGTGCCAAAGCACAGCGTAACATCGTATACACGGCGGTATATAAAATAAAAAAGGACAGCAGTAGCTCGCGCATGCGGCAATGCGGAGAATCGAGCGAGACTGCTTCGTGGAAATTCTACTCTCCTGATAGCGGCACACGTCAGTGGCCGGCCGTTTGTGACACATTCAGCCGCGGCGCGTGGCCCTCGCACGAGCTGGCAACAGCTCTAGTCGTTTTTGCTGTCACGCGCACGTGCTGTACGTGTGTACCATTGCCAACTGCGCGCACGGACAATCATTCTCCTTCTCGAGGCTTTGTTTTCTTCCCTCTGCGCCAATTCTTACAACGCGAACAAAAGGAAACCCGACCGAGAAAGAAAAGAGTGCTCTCAACAGCGACCACCGGGGAGGGGGGACTTGCCTTATGAGAGGATACTGCGTAATATATGTATCCTCACCGCTGCCGCAACACTTGATTGCAAAACTTTACAGTCAGATGAACCCCCGCTTCTAGTACTCTTCCTACCCCTCGAGTCTCTCTCTCTCTCTCTCTCTCTCTCTCTCTCTCTTTCGACTGACTTTACCTACCCCATCGCACGTATACACACAACAAACAGTGTAGTCGACGTAATGTTGGACAGCGTCAGTTCGAGATAAAACAACTTTTTTTATTCTCTCTCTCTCTTTCTCTCTCTCTCTCTCTCTCTCTCTCTCTCTGACTTGCGCAGGTGTGCAAGTTTATCGTAAACTTTGGAATGTTAATTGTCGTTAATAAAGCGTCCCGCATGTTGCTGTGTCGACGGCGAGCAGCGCGGCGAAGAGGCTGCTCGTTGCGCTCACCGTTGCAGCAGCGACGAGGTGAGCGGATGAGAGGCGCGATGCAAAGAGGAGAGAAAAAAGCACAGCGAACGTCGCGACTGGACGCTGCGCTAAGGATGTCTACTGATAGCGCGCCACTGACAACGAACAGCGCCAACGCGACTCCCTCACCTGACAACACTCATTATGAAGTACTCGTTGGCTTGGTCAATAAATCTCCTATATCTTTCTTAGGACTATTCTTTTTCAAACTACTGACCTTACATGATGAAAATATACGCAGTAGACCATTAGCTTGCTATTGGTTGGTATAAAGCGGCATCTTATGGTGTCAGCATACTATTTTGAAATGATTATCAACGCAACTACATTTCATCGTATTGGAATTCGTTCATTGAATAGTCTTGGAAGCATTGCTCGTAGTCATTAAAAAGTTGACGAAATATGCAAGTACAAGAATCCTTTGAAAAAGGTTCACTGGGCAGTCCATTATCAAAGCAACTTTCTTCCGTGATCTTCTAAAAGTACGACAAAAATAGACAAACAGTGATAAAAAGTTACGGCAAGGCTTTCACGAGATTCAATGAGGTCGGTTCTCGAGTCATCAATTAATGTTTCGCCTCGAAACTGACTAACTATCCCTCGAATGATGGAAGCACTAGGGAACAATGCGGCCGATCCCTACAGGTATAAATAACAAGCTTTGGCGACTGACCTTCAATGCACGCAAGTATCATCGTCATCGAATGACTGAAAGAATGCCGGGCAACAATACAGGAAAACGACTTGCAGAAATTCTGAAGCTTCTCCTCCTGTAACGAGCACAGGGCCAGAGCCAGAGCGGTAGAGGCACACAGCCAACACCTCCTCCTCCTCCGACGGCGCCGGCGGTGGCGGTGGCGGCGGCGGCGGTGGCGGCGCTTTGGTGAGAGTGAGAGAGTGAGAGAGAGAGAGAGAGAGAGAGAGAGAGAGGAGAGAGAGAGCTCCACCAAAGAACTCTACGTTGCTGATAGTACCCTGCCGCCGGCGTTGTCCGGCGCGTTGCCGAAATTCGCCGATGATTGATGGGCTATTTGGTCCGGGCCAAAAACCCTTCCCTTGCACCTGTCGCCAGCAGCACACTTATCATCTTCCTCTCTCCCTTCGTCCTCGCCTTCTCGCTTTTTGCACGCGCGCCAGCGCACGCGAGACGGAAGCGCATCGTTGTTCCAAGGAACGCGGGATGCTGCGAGAGTGCCGGGCGGATTTCATCACAGGAGCCCATGCAAGTCGAGAGGATCGAGTAAAAGCAGTCTGCGCTGCAGAGAGCCAGACAGTTATACTGCTGGCACTTTCTCCCTCTCCGTGCCTCTTTGTCCACGCGTATTATTCAGCCTCTGCACATGTGTGGTGCAGCACTGGTATACCGGACGGCTCCTCTATCTCGTGTACTCGTCACGTACCAGTGCCTCACTGCACGCCAAATTGCCGCTCACGTTATATACTTTTCACTGAAACTCAACAGTAGCAATTTTTTACTTTAACAATTTTCTTTACACGAATTTGTATGCAGTTCTCATTCTAAGAATTGCTGTCGGAATTTCCATTCGAGCAGCTGCTTACAATTAGTATAGGAGCACATCGAACGGCCAGTCTGACCGAATCAATTCGTACTACTTGAAATTTGTTTAATGTCTTTACCGGAGCTTTTGCAAAATACAGTGAACGACGAGAAAGAATAAAATATCTGATGAGATAAGAGTCCAAGCTGTAGACACTGCAAGTGTGATTTGACTGGTTATATGAAGGAAAAAAATGAAAGAGGACCTTAACGAACCGTACATTATTGATCGGCATTAAATCCTCGAAAGTAAACAGCATTATAAATCTTAGCCAATCGTAAGTACGCGCAGTCAGGCATCAAATGCTCATAACTATAAGCGCTGACGCTGCGTACAAATGCGTTCTCGTCGCTGGCCGATTAAAGCGCAAATGCAACGCGAGAAGCATCAGCAAAATTCGAGCTTGGCTCACTGCGATGTTAATTAGGCTCGCGTTAAGCACCGAATATCGGGCTTCAAAGTTGCCCAAGGAATTACAGAGACAAGCGCGTCCGTGCTGCAGTCCATTGCTTGCAACGAAAGCCATTTGCGAGCCAAGCTTCATGGGCTTGGTGATGCGGCACTAACGAGACGGGCTCCTATCATCTTCGACATATCGAAGCTGAAAGTTTGCACGGCCGTGTGTCGGTGATTGGCTGCATGAATTAACCTTTGACCGTGTGATGATCATTTTGAGGAATTGGCACTTGCGACTATGATGAGTGCTTGACAACACTTGAGTCTGTATTGTTGCACCATAAAATACAAGCCGGTTGCGTCTTTAATAGCGTTTCACACC